TAAACTATTGTAATAGCTAGCCAAAACTGTGAAGTAAATTGTGTGTAATAGTGTTGATAATAAACTATGTGATAATAAACGATATAGCTAGCGATAGAAAGATATAGCTAGCGACCCTTCTGTGGAGTAAATTTTGGAAAATTAACATTGCGCCGGACAAATGCAAACACGCTACATTTCGTTCATTACATATCCCTTTAAATTTGGGAAACCTACAATTACCACAAGGATTGGCCGATGATCCTGTAAAAGATCTTGGTATACGGTTAGTTCCCTCTCTAAAATTTGATCCTCACATAAACTACATATCCAAAAAAGCTTCTAGAATTTCTAACATAATACTTCGCGCCATTTGTTTCCCTAAAATAGCGACTTATTGCCGGCCTTTGCTCGAGTATGCCACCATCGTATGGTCACCTTCCATTAAGAAACTTATCACCTTGGTTGAAAATGTCCAACAGCGTTTCACTAAAAAAAGCATACACTCGTTGTTTCCCTTCGTCTCTTATTCCAAATTATGAGACTAGACTTATCGTTTTTGATTTAAAACCCCTTTTATATCGCCGTATTTACTTTGATCTTCTTTTTTTGCTATAAATTTCTTTTCCACCCAGTCGCATCCAGAATTTCAAAGCTTCTTGAAAATTGTGGAAATTCCTAGAAGTAGACGTAGTGATCCTTATCAAATTTTCGATTTGATTCTTGTCGATTCTCATCCCCATCATCTTTCCCTTTATTTGGGAACCGTATTAGCAGGGGTTTGGAATAAGCGCCCGTCTTTGACTTGGAATAAGCTCGCGTCTGGTATCTTCTCGTCTCTAGGAAAATTGAAAGTATCTGTAAACGAATTATTGGGTTGGGAACTATGACTCGGCGCCAAACTTTAAAGGGACTTTTTGCACACATAAAGCCTTCTTTAAATATACGTTTGGTTTCATCAAAAGGATCCACTATTTCTCTACAAAATGACTTTTGAGAGATTCCACAAAGCTTTTCTTTCGTGGAGTTTATGGACTCCCAAACACAGCTAGTCAAAATGGCAAAGAGCCCGACTCATCATTTGAACAGTTTCTTTCACATAAACCTTCTTTGGTGTTTATATAAAAAAGATAGAGTACATTCAATTACTTAAGTTGCCAAATTTGCAGGAAGATCCCACCAATGGTTTTTTCTAGATCACAGTTTGTAGTTTTTGTGAAAAAATGGTTTTTTCTTGAGCGGAGGCGCTGTTTGAATTTTCTTTTAAATGTGATTTTGTAGAGAATTAGTTAACCATTCTACTCATATCAAACGCATATTATTTGACGAAGTCGAATAGAAGTTTTAGACATTTTTTTGATTTTCGGCGCCGAGTCATAATCCCCAACCCAATAGATCTTATTGCCATGTCAAATCTGCTCTATATTTAATCTGTTGTACCTGTGTTTCCTAACTGTAGTCTTACTGTACCATTTTTAGTTTTTTTTCTTTTTTTGTGAAAGTATTGTAGAAATATGTTATATGCGGTTAATAAGGCATATATATAAAGGGAAATAAACTTTACCTTTTGAAATCTTGACTATTTTTTGAAGCAAAATATTGAAATTCTTCTCCAATTCGTTTTAAGTCAAGTACGAAAAATGAAAATTAATCAAGATCAGATCATTAAGCTAAAAAAAAATACTTTAAACATCAAAAATCTTTTGAAAGCAAGCTTTCTTTGGATCAAAACTTGAAATTTTTTCATTATCTTCACTAGCATTTGATGCAGAGAGCTCTTCCATTGGTAGTTGAACTTTTCTGTCACTTTGATCTTTGGAAATTTAAGCTTTGATTAGTTTCATTCAAAAAGATTCTTAAAATTAGCAATCCTAGACTATTTTAGTCCTTTTGGTTGTAAAGCTCACGTATCTATAGCTAGATAATTCCGGGATTCAATCCAACCCCAGTCAATGAGTTTTTGCGCGAGTCAGCTGCTGTCTTCTTTCTTCTTTCTTCTTTCTTCTTTTCTTTTCTTTCTTCTTTCTTCTTCTTTCTTCTTCTTCTTTCTTTAATCTATCTACGAATCTCTTTTCTATTAATTGAACACTTTTAGAGTAATGATATGTAACCGATTGTGCGATCAATTGAGAGTGATTCGAGTGGAGAGAGAAATCTAGACTCATATAGTCTTCAAATGAAAAACGAACACTTGCAACTTTCTTTAAATGCGTAGGCTACACACAGGAAAAGTTTTGCAGTTTATGGGTAAACTTAAAGAACATTGCAATTGGTCAACTTAAAGAACTGATCCACATTTGCTACTTTAGAGTTAAACCTTATTGTTTTGCTTGCTTTACATGATTTGCTCTTGAAATGAAACACGTGTAGCGAAATGCGTTTTCTAAAATGCACGAAAAGCTACCGTAATCAATTTCCAGTTTTGGTATCATTTGATGAGAAATCACAAGACACAATAACACAATTGAGCTAATTAAATGAAACTGGCAGTTAGATTACGGTAGTTTTTCAAAATAGGTGCCTTTTAGAAAACGCAGTGCCCGGAGAATACACCTAAATCATATATATTCTTTAAAGTTAAAGTTTTGAAGTCAAAAATTGAAGACTCGAGCAATTAAACATCAAAATAAGACAAAAACGAAAGGAAGGGGGTTGAACCAGAGCAAAAAATTGCTAGCTCGTCTCGTAAAGAAACCTCTTATCCACTACACCACAAGCTCACATATCGGGACGGTGAAAGAAGCGTTATATAGGCTTCTTTCATGAAGCTCTTATATATGGGCCTTGATTTTTGGCCTCTAATTTAACCTCAAAGTTTACCCTTTCATCAAATCATTTCGCAAAAACGGATAACAGCATCGGAATCAGCGTAAAATTCTCTGGATTGATCACCTCTTTTGACTTTCCTTTATCTAGAAACTAAAATTTCGCTGATTGCCAGTATAAATACACTGGTTTTTAGAAAATCAAAATCTATTGGGTAATTTAAATCAATCTAGAGTCTAATCTCTTTGCTGATCCTCGAAATCTCTTGCTTATTGCTTTCAACTTTTCAACATAGCTAACTTTTTCCAGAAACCTCAACAATTTCCACAAGGTGTCATTTCTTTTGATCGTTTTTTTTTGCGATCTGTGTCTTTTAACTAGATGAGAGTGATGAGAGAAGAGCCGCTTTTGACTTTTCCAAAAGACAACTGACTCTTCCACATGTTTTTCCAAGTATTTCTTATCACAAAAATCTCGGATGATATGCAAAAAATGGTTAAAGAAACGCAGGACTCGTGCAGAAAATGAATCCAAAAAAAATGAAAGCACTATAGCAATACCTACAAAACAAACATGTGACACACTGAAAGTTTCCTTTGGTTTACCTGACTTTGAACAATTTAAATAAAAAATGATGTTTTTGATGATGCTTGTCTTGGGTTAAAGCTTTATTTAGTCTATTTTATACCTAGATTTACATAGATTTTATGTTTAGACTGATTAAATTGCTTGTAATACAATTGAGAATCGTATTGGACTTGAGAAAAATCGGTACCTGTTTAGAAATTGTAGTACTTGTTAGTACTTTTTTGTTTAAGTACTTGTTTAGAATTGGTAGCACTTGTTACTTGTAGTACTTGTTCCTCTTCTTCTAGTACTTGTTAGTACTTGTTTGTTCAAGTACTTCTTTAGAATTGGTAGTACTTGTTCTTTTCCTGGTACTTGTTTAGACTTTTAGTACTTGTTAGTACTCGTTTCTTCTAGGAATTGTTTAGAACTTGTACTACTTGTTACTTGTAGTACTTGTTCCTCTTCTTCTAGTACTTGTTTAGACATTTAGTACTTGTTACTACTTATTTTTTCTAGTACTTGCTTGTTTTTGACTTCAACGATGCATCAATAAACGAGAATCGAATGCACAAGTACGAAATTTCTCTTTCTTATGTCTGTTCAACATTTTTTTCATGAAACATTAAACCGATTAAGCTATCTGTCACCCAACAAAGATAAATTTAAGATTCTTTTTTCAGTAAATCCAATTTGTTTAAGTTTTTCTATATAATTTGCATCTAAACAATCTGGTTTACGATTAAGAAGCACAAATTTGAAATCAAAAACCTAAACGGTAATATGGAGGGTTTTTTTTCTTCAAAACCACTTTTTCCGGGTTACTTTTAGGTGTAGATCCGGAAAAACACAACATGAGATTAGGAAAATGCGTTTTAAGTCGAGTTTCGGGGCTTCAAACTGGGCACTAGGTTACTTCACTATATGGAGCCCAATCTATCGACTATTGGGTCACTTTTCAAGGTCAAAATTACAACCAAAACCATTTTTTAAACACTAAATATTCATTTTCTAACTTAAATTGACTGGTAGAGGCAATGAGACAGGGTGATGAGAGGGATACACATAGGGAAGAGGTCTAAAAATGGCCTCTCAAAGCATTTTGTTGAAGCCAAAAACACTTCTTCTAGCATAATTTAACCTACTGGTTACGTTTATGATCAAATTAAAGCAAATTTTTGGTTTTGGTTGTAGTTTTGACCTTGAAACGTGCTACAATAGTCGATAGCTTGGGCTTCATATAGCGCCAACTAGCGCCCAGTTTGAAGCCCCGAAACTCGACTTAAAACGCATTTTCCTAAGCTCTCGTTGTGTTTTTCCGGATCTACACCTAAAAGTAACCCGGAAAAAGTGGTTTTAAAGAAGAAAAAAAGTGCTCAAGGCCAGTACCGCCTAAATAACTTCAAAAGCTTCAAGTCTTGACTTTTGAAGCAGCAAGATTTTGTGATTTTTTTGTTGCAAAGATCATTGACTTTTTCTCCTCTAGATATTCAGGCTAAAAAATGTCACTCATGCTTTTTTCCTTTTCTCTCTCCTCATCTCTAAAAAGTCTCAAATTACCGTCGCAAAGTGTGAAAAGTTCTCGTGATCTCAATCAATCTTTGAATCATTATTTTTTCTCTAATCAAACATTTTTTTACTATTTCAGGCAAAAATCAAAGCTTTATGGCGATATTAGAAAAGGAGAGATGATACAAATGTAAGTTTTTCGTTTTTTAAAACGTTCGGGACGATTCGGTCCATCGGTGGACGAAATTTTTGACGCGCTAGAACTTTTCAACTTTTTAAGATAATTTCAAAATGTAAAAAGATGATGTTGATGTTTATTTAGCTGAGCATCTAGCTGATCTAGTTCATCTAGCTGATCTAGTTCATCTAGTTCATCTAGCTGATCTAGTTCATCTAGCTGATCTAGTTCATCTAGCTGATCTAGTTCATCTAGCTGATCTAGTTCATCTAGCTGATCTAGTTCATCTAGCTGATCTAGTTCATCTAGCTGATCTAGTTCATCTAGTTCATCTAGCTGATCTAGTTCATCTAGCTGATCTAGTTCATCTAGTTCATCTAGCTGATCTAGTTCATCTAGCTGATCTAGTTCATCTAGTTCATCTAGCTGATCTAGTTCATCTAGCTGATCTAGTTCATCTAGCTGATCTAGTTCATCTAGCTGATCTAGTTCATCTAGCTGATCTAGTTCATCTAGCTGATCTAGTTCATCTAGCTGATCTAGTTCATCTAGCTCCATCCAATAAAACAAAAATCGTGGAAAACGGACCATTGGAGAAAGAGAAATGTAGCGTTTTGTCTCACGAGCCAAAAAGAGCCGATATCTTTTTGAGGCAGCAATACTTTCTAAATCTGATTAGAGATTCGGGTTCAGCATGAAATTTTACATATAGGAGGTGTATTTCGGGGCTGATAGCTTTGCGAGACACCCCAGTAACAGTAACGCAAAAAAAAACGCCTCGTCGCGAATGTGTTAAACTTCTATTTAGCTGGATCAAACTATGAAATGGATACTTTAAAAAAAAATACACTTAAACCAATAATTTGATATAAACAAAGGAAACATAATAAGAAATAAAGGTCTAAACAAACAATTTTATGGCACCGTTATCCTTATTATTTTTTAAACAATTTTAAACAAGAAAACAATTTTATGGCACTGCGGCTGTTACCCCCTATTATCCCTATCAATATGAAAGTTTTGTTTTTAGCTTCCTCCTTGGCCTGTTGGCTCATTCAACTCATAGCCTTACATCGATTGGTGAAATCATTGAAAATACGATCAAGCGAATTCCCACACAAAACACCACCCGACCACTCGAAGTTCGATTGGGATTCTACTTGGAGAGTATTGGAAATTTCAAATCCGCTGAAATGGTGAGTTTAAAAAGGACTAATGACCAATTTAACGACTAAAACTAGAGCTGTTCCGAGCTTTGGCCTGGCCTAACTTTCCAAGTTTCTCAGCCCTGCTCATCTTTTCTTTTATCTTTCTATTTTTAGTCCTTTGACGTGGATATGTACTTGTACATGTCGTGGAAAGATCACCGTTTAAGGCATCGCTCCGTCGATCAAGTACTCGTCACCGATGATCGCATTAGGAAGAAGCTTTGGTTGGTGCCATTTGGTTTAGATCTTTTTTTTGGATTTATAATGTTTACTAGTTCGAATCTATTAAGCTGAGTACTAACAAGGGAATGGGCAGAAGTGGAGGAGAAATGAGTGATACTTCATTTGATAAATCTCATGATGAATCTTGATGAACAAAGAAATTAGAGCTAAAGTAACTCTACAACGAGAAATGGGACCGACAAGAAGTAAAAATCATGCTTTTGACCATTCTTGACAAAGCTTTTTATTGAATCAATATTTTTGAATAATCTTTTTTGTATTTACTGGGTTGGTGAGTTGAAAACTGCCGGACTTTGAACTAAAATTTATTCAACACAAAATCATCAATTCATTCCGAATAATTTCCATTATTATTGACGACTTCTGCCCATTTTACAGGCAATTTGCGGATTCCTCTTTCGTAGTAGGATTTTGGTTTGTGTGTGAGACAAGTGTGAGACTCAAAAATGGAGGACTGGAGATGTCAGCTGTCAGCCCAGTTTGAGCACTTTCTTCAAAAGAAACCCACTTTGGTGTCAATGGAAAAGTTGTAGAGAATCAAAAATTAGGCTTATATTCAAATTTTCAGAATGATTCAAAAACTCGTTTTTCAGGAAATGCCAAATTTACGAATTTTCACAAAACTTGCATTTTAAGCGAAATTACAAAGTGTATCTTTTTGGAAACTTGGCTATAAACCTGATTTTTGATTCTCTACAACTTTTCTATTGGCACCAAAATGGGTTTCTTTTGAAGAAAGTACTCAAACTGGGACATCTCCAGTCCCCGATTTTTGAGTCTCACACTTGTCTCACACACAAACCAAAATCCTACTACGAAAGAGGAATCCTGTGACATATGACAATAGCCCGCCGTTTTCAATTCACCAACCCAATAATATTAGGTACATGCATAAGAAATGCGGATTTCAACATTTTCACTCGCATTTTGCCCTCGAAATTTCTTCAATGGTTCGATCAATTGAAACACGTTTTACCCTATTTTGTAAAGGAGATTTAGAACTTTCAAATAGTTTATAACATTCATCGATATCAGGTTTCTATCGTTGGAAATTTATGAAAATGTTGAAATCCGCATTTCTTATAGTTTTCATTGAAAGAAACGATCGAAAAGGCAATCATTTTTAACTTTGTCGACTTTGTCGTTTTTAAACACTCGGCTTCTTGCTAATGAAAAACCGTCAAAACAAAGCTTTTCAAAAACTTTCGAAAGTCATTTGCAAGAAAAAGGTTTAGGCTATCTGATGAAATGAACCTTTTATTTGGTAGCTTGAGACTTATTGAAGTTAGAAAATGAATTTGGGTGAAAGACTTAGTACTTAACCTAATTGTTGATGGTCATTGATTTTTAGCTTTAAATGATTTCATTTTTCAGTTGAAACAAAAAAAAAACATAATTTAGGCTACCAGATCTATATTTTGCGAACGCAAAAGAGGCAAAAGTTCACGAGGTGACCGCTCCGAATTTCAATATATTCATTGATAAAGATGGAACGATTGCTTACTCGTGCCGGTTCACGTACGTTTTGAAAACATTAAGAAATTCCAGAAGTAGAGTTCTTTTCTAGCACACTTAATTGCCGATGAGTGCACCAGAAAGTGATTTCCATAAGTACATACCGTAAATACTGTAATAGTACCGCATCCCCATAATGACGGCGCGGAGTGTTGCGTAGTCTAGCTTTGAACAAGTTTTTCTAGACACTGGTTTATGCTACAGTGTGGGCTTTGGTATCAAAAAATAGCCCTGAATTTCAGCTTTTTTTTGATACCAAAGACACATTTTTTGAAAGTACGCTTTGAAAAAAAATGAAATACTAAAAAACTTTTGCGACTACGCGACTGTACGAGGGTGGTGGGGTACTATTACAGTATTTACGGTAGCTTGTTCCAAAGGAAAATTCCGTTTCCAGGTTTGTCTGTCAAAAGCCAGCTTGTCTATAAGCTAAGTTCTGTTTTGGCTCTTGATCTAGTCTGATTTGGCTTTGTTCTTGAATTGTCCCCCAGAGCCAGGTCTAGACCCAGCCAGGCAAAGACCCATATTGTCATTGCCATTGCTTAACAAGGTGATTTCGTTTCAGGATGTCGATCAGTTGCAACTTGCAACTCCGAAACTATCCAATGGACGTGCAAATGTGCGGAATTCGGATTCTTTCTTGTAAGTGTCGATTGGGAAAATTCACTGTTAGATTGTTTAATTTCAGATGCGCACATACAAAAGCAAATGGACGTGAAATGGTTTGACGAGGGGCCGATCCGAGCAAATCCGGAAATTCGGTGAATTTTTGGTAAAATTTCAAACGTCTAATAGTTAAATTCTCTTATTTTGGATATTCAGTGAACCAAACTGAAGAATTAAATTAAATCAAATAGATCTTAACACGTTGACGACAATGGCGTTTTTGCACAAACAATCGCATGGGACAACGTTGTTTTTTTGCGACAAAAAATGTCACCTGACATCAGGTGACAATGTCCCACAGAGTTCTTTTTTTCAAACTTAAAATTTTTGTGAAAGTTTAAAATGATTATTTGATAATTATGAAATAACAATAATCTAGAAAGTTTTATTCGTTGGTGATGTTTCTAAGTAGGAGATACATAGCACTTATCACCGTTGGCTCTCTAAATAATTCCAGATCGTAAGGGCTGGTGACTATAAATCACCACGGATGTCCTATCAGTATTCAACTTTTTATAGCTGTTTATTTATTTTTATATAAACCACAAACTACAGGTTTGCGTAAACCTACAGGTACGGGTCCGTATTAGACTTGGGCCGGAATTCTGGTTTCGTCAGACTCCTCTAATTTGTCGAAGTGCCATCCGTTCCAGTCCCAGGCTCACTTTATATGACGCGTGCGAAATTCTACATTTTTCTCTCAAAGTAGTAACAGTTTGGCAAGTTAGAGGCGTCTGACATGCTTGAATCTGATTCCTAGGGGTCTCGAGAAAAAGATTTTGACCATTATTTTTGCACCAACTTTTGCAGGGCCTATAACTCGCGTACTAGAAGTCAGTGGCAAAAACGGAATTCGGATTCTGAATCCTCTCGAAGAGACGCTTCAAATAAGCTATAGCTCGTAGCAAAAGGCCACAGACCCCGCTGACCACTGTTAGTTGTAGTTCTTAATAATCATTAATAATCAACGGTTAAATCGACATTTTCCGGGACCAAGTCGAATATAGATACTACCCTACTTGCTTATTTAATATCCATCATCAGCAAAAATAAATATGCACAAAAAAATCAATTTTGGTACTGTCACCTGACATCAGGTGACAATGTCCCAGGCGAACGAATATGTGTCAGACAGCATCAGGTGACAATGTCGTCAACGTGTTAAAGATCTATTTGAAATCATTCAAACTTTCTCTTCAGACTTCCCGAATTCGAGATCACGAATATTACTGCCCGTTATTGCAATGGAGCCTATCGATATGCGGTCACTCAAAATGGATATAAATACGGTAAAAACTCAATACTTTGCATAGAAAAATTCGTTGTTTTTTAGATAACTTCAGTTGTTTATTCGGAAAGATTTTCCTCTCTCGAAATATGGGATATAATTTGATTCAAAGTTACATCCCGACTGGGTTAATCGTTGTCATTTCTTGGGTTTCTTTTTGGATCGATCGGAGAGGTTTTTTTGCTGAGAAATGTTCGCAGAAAATTGAGAAAATTGAGAAAATTTCAGCTGTGCCGGCTAGGGTGACTCTCTCATTCACGACGCTCGTTTCATTGACAACTTTGGTAAGTTGATTGGTTTCTTTTCACTTAACTGGATAAAGATAAAGATAAAGAATGAATTTTACCATTGTGAATCAAACTGTCAATCAAAGTACAGTACTCTTTATGTACTTTCTAGGGTAACGGTATGCGTTACGGTCTACCGATGGTCGACTACGCGAAAGCTATCGATTTATGGTATGGAGGTGAGTCTAATGAGATTTCCCCTTGAAGTAAAGCATTTTCCACCATCTGCCAACTTTCAAAAGCTACCTTAATCTAGAGTATATTGTAAAGAATACATTAAACTTGTAACGAAAACATCTGTCGTTAAGGTTTTTCGTCTTTTTCGCAGCAACTAATCTTTTGATTTTGACTATTCTGACTATCATTCGATGCAGAATAAAATTGTGCGTCGAATGATACCAAAATCAACTCAAAATCTAATATCCACGCAAAGTTGTCGGCTAAAAACCTAAACGCCGCTCATTATGGGCGGGACTTGGCCTTTTGCCGCATAACTTTGCATGGAGTTTACATTTTAAGTTCATTTTGGTATCATTCGACGCGCAATTTTGATTCTGCATCGAATGATACTCAAAATAGTTCAAATCGAAGGATTGGTGCTGAGAAAAAGGCGAAAAACCTTAAATTGAGGCAAAAGGGGCCGACAGATATTTTTATTTATAAGTTTAATAGATCGTAAGCTAGTAAGTTCATGGGTTACTTGGATGTTGATTTAGAATAGATTTATAGATAGAACTTAGCTCTGTAATAGACTTAGAACTTGACTTTACAGTAATAGTACAATAATAGTAAAGCCACCCACTTGTATTAGTGCACCAATTCACCAATCAATTCCTTACCCTGCAAAGCGGATCTTTTACAGATTGAGGAGCATGATTGCGAACTTAAACCCAGCTCATTATGGGCGGGACTTAGCCTTTTGCCGCATAACTTTGCATGGAGTTTACATTTTATACAGAAATACGTCAAACTTGTAACAAAAACATCTGTCGTTGACAATTTAAGGTTTTCTTTGACAAATTTAAGGGCTAAGTCGCCTTTTTCTCAGCACCAATCCTTCGATTTGAACTATTTTGAGTATCATTCGATGCAGAATCAAAATTGCGCGTCGAATGATACCAAAATCAACTCAAAATCTAATATCTAGGCAAAGCTATGAGGCAAACGGTTAAGTTCCGTCCCGGGTTTAGGTTTTTAGTCAAGAACTTTGCATGGGTATTAGATTTTAAGATAACTTTTGTATCATTTGACGTGCAATTTTGATTCTGCATCAAATGATAGTCAAAATAGTCAAAATAGCGGCTCACTTATTACCGCCACTACTCTCAAACTTTCTACCAAACTATCGGAGATGTTAGCCTTCGAACGGTAACTCTCGAACGTGTGCTTCGCTTGAGCATTCGAGCCTGATTTTTACAACGTAATCTTGCCTTTAGTAACTAATATATTTGAGGTTTTCTTAGATTTTCTTAGATAACTCATAGATTACGGATTACGGACTACTGTAGCTTTTTCAAGTTATAGAAATCGCTTTGGATTATTCTAAACTGTACAAAGACACAGCACTAGGTCTGCTTTTCGAATCGATTCGGAGAACAGAACCGATTCGATTCTAAACAAAGCCAAACCAAAAACCAGATCTAATAAGCACAAGTTGAAGTTAACTGCCAGATCTTGTTGAAGTTAACTGGCAGACCTTGTTGAAGTGAACTGCTAGACCTTGTTGAAGTTAACTACCAGATAGATAGGATTAAAATATTACAATACAAGCCATTTAGCCTGTATGATTTTCGTCTTTCTGGCTCTCCTCGAATTTGCCATTGTCAATTCGATCATGAGAAAATCCGATAAATATGATCAAATCGCGAAGAAAATTGCAGTCGCAAGAGGTGAATTGGTTTTGTAAACTTTTTTAATCACCTATTCTAGAGCCTGAAAAGAAAGAAGAATCGAGAAAGAATGAAGGTGATTCTAGAGTTGAAATTTTCCCTTATGTCATTGAAAATTTGCCCTTTCATCAAAAAATTCAACAAAAAAAAAACTGAAATTTAGACACAATGCCTGTGGGAGGAAATGATTGGAATCGAAAAACGATTCGGGACTATTTGAGGAAAAACTCGAGAGATAGAAAATTGAATCCGCAAAACCAGAAAAATGGTAATCTAATTGTAAGAAAAATCTACCGTAAATACTGTAATAGTACCCCAGTCCCATAATGACGGTGCAGAGTGTTGCGTAGGCTAGCTTTAAACGACTTTTTCTCAACACTGGTTTATGCTACAATGTTCGCTTAGGTATCAAAAAATAGCTGAAATTCAGGGCTATTTTTTGATACCAAAGACGAATTTTTTGAAAGTACGGGTGCTTTGAAAAAAATGAAATACTAAAAAGACTTTTGCGATTACGCGACTGTACGAGGGGTGTGGGGTACTATTACAGTATTTACGGTAGCTTGTTCCAAAGGAAAATTCCGTTTCCAGGTTTCAAGATAAGGCAAAAGCAAGCCTGTCTATAAGCTAAGTTCTGTTTTGGCTCTTGATCTAGTTTGATTTGGCTTTGTTCTTGAATTGTCCCCCAGAGCCAGGTCTAGACCCAGTCAGGCAAAGACCCAGCCAGGTCTGGACCCAGCCAGGCAAAGACCCAGCCAGGCAAAGACCCATATTGTCATTGCCATTGTTTAACAAGATGATTTCGTTACGTTCGTAACAAGGTTACGGTAACTTTTTTTGAAAACATTAATATGACACTTAATTCCATCCAAGGCAAGTTCAAGATTCCCTTTGAAATCTAAGAACTATAAAACTTTGATACCATACTAGCTGATCACTTATTGAATAAAATGATAAATATAAAAAGCTGTATTTGTCAACATTTAAGTTTTTAAAATCTGTTTTCCAAAAAAAAGTAAAGACTTTCGCCGAGACCGGAATCGAAACCGCGAGCATAGTTTTGCAGACTAGTCCAGTATTCCCCAGGCCATCGCAGTCCTGTTTGGGTCCTCGCTTGGCGCCCCGTTATAGACGGCGTAGCAGAAATTAGCCGAAACTTTGCGGTTTTCTCAAAAACTAGCCTCCACTAGGAGAAATGAAAAATTATGTTTCTTAGAATTCGACGGGGGCTAGGTACTGACCTGAACAGGTACTGCCCTGAACCTGAACCAGCTTTACTGTTAGTCTGACCTAAATAACGTTTCCGGTGACTAGCCTGGGTTACAGCTCTACGGTAAAATACCTCTAACGTTGACTGGGTTTTTGATTTGGGAAATGAATCATTTCAGTTGGTAGTTCATAACTTTTTTGGTGATTAGCAATTGTGTGTAAATGGAAATCTAGTTCATTTCAACAGTTCACTTCTAAAGCCTTTTCCATTTGTTTCCTTTTCTAGAGTCTCCACATCGTCCTCCGTATCTCGTCGTCTACAAAGAGCCCGAAAACCAGGATGGAGCAACGGGTAAACCCTGATTTCCAATCATTTATCACAATTCTTTCACAAATTTCAAAATATTTTACTAAAATATATCGAGGAAGGTGAGAAATTTAACATTTTTAAAATGTTTTAACTTAAATTTGGACTTATGGATTGGACTTAAAAGCAAAAGCGAAAAATTTAGAGTACGATTCGGCTGAGGAAACGTTTAACGATGGTGGGAATCTAGGAAATCAAACGGATCAGATTAGAGAAGATGAGCTCGAGATTTCCGGTAAATATTTTACATCAAAATTCAAATAAGATTTAGAATTTAGGATTTAAGAAAATTTTCAGATGATGACACGAAAATGTGGAACAAAGCGATGCGAAAAGACAACCCGAATGGACTGATCGTGTTGCCGAGAAAGGTTTGAGTTTCGAGAAAGAAATGAAAGATCTTTTGAGAGAATCATCCGGAAGTTGAAAGCTGGCAAACCAGTTATTAATTATGAAGTTTTCAGCGCAAGAACAAGGACCCGCAGGAGCCATGCACTCAAGCATCCCGTCCGAACTCTCAACTCATCAATCGGGGAGTCGCCGAGAGCACGTATGCTGTGGTTGGTGAAAGTCTTGTCCTCCTTTTGCATTTTAATTTCACAACTTTCGCAGCAGCTAAAAACCAAAGCTTCTATTGACGGTATTGACTATTTGCAAGTATGATATTTTTCCAACGATTGGGCAGAGCGTGTAATTTTTCTTACAAACAGAAGTTGACTGGGCTCCGTTGAAGTAGGCAACGATATTCGTTAGTTCTCGATCATTGGCCAAGTGCTAGCTTGTCAAATCAACGGCTAACTTCTTGAAATGTAGAAATAACTTAACGCAATGTCTAGAGAATATAATGGTTCAAAGAGAACTTTTCAGCTTAAAGTCTACAGTATTTTTCTGACCATTCAATAGGGTTAATTTTGTGCCACATAGAGAAAAGCTCTTTTTTTTCATCTACGCGATCTATCTAAGCGATCCATCTATCTAATTACCGTAGAAACTCTAATAAAACGGCCGCCCTATAGGAGCGTCACGTAGTCTAAGTTTACTCTCAAACAAACAATCATATCTTGACACCAGTACGTTTGTTTCTTCAGGTTTAGATATCAAATTAAAGTAGAGAAAATGGGTGATCTTTTGAGATATAACATAGATTTTTAACATCAACCAGTGCTTGGAAAGAAATGATTGAAAATCGGCGAAAATCGGCTATTTTTTCCCATTTTTCAATCACTTTTTTCTAAGCACTGGTTAATGTTAGAAATCTGTGTTATATCTCAAAAGATCACCCATTTTCTCTACTTTAATTTAATACCAAAGCTCACAGAAACAAATGTACTGGTGTCAAGATATGATCGTTTGTTTGAGAGTAAACTTTTAGATGATGTGGCTGCGTGGTTCATAAACTAAATGTATTTGCAAATACCGAGCTTACGTACCAATTATTCAGCTATTATTCAGCTTTGTGACTGTTTCCACTCTCCACAAATTGTGTTGACAAAAGATTAACACCAAACGTTTACAGATGACTCAATCATTCTCTCGTCGTGCTTTCCATATCGATCAAATCTGTCGTTGCATTTTCCCGGGCATTTTTCCTCATTAGCCTCTCCCTTCCAATAGTAGCACCCCTAGTGTTTCCACTCTACACAAATTGTGTTCACAAAAGATTAACACTAAAAGTTTACAGATGTCTCACTCATTCTCCCGACGTGCTTTCCATCTCGACCAAATCTGCCGTTACATTTTCCCGGGCACTTTCCTCATTTTCAATCTCTGGTATTGGATTTATTTTCTCATTTATCACAAAAATATTCTCATCGCTGAGATGAAAGATCAATTGTAGTTGTAGTTGATTGTGATTTTTGAACACTTTAAACTTCAACTAGAAGCTCTCGAGTATCTTCGTGCAAAAAAATGTGTTCTAATCAAGAAATTAACGAAAAATCTTTTGAGATTAGATGCATTCATTGGATATATTTCTAAAATTTTAAAAATTTCTTTATAAACATTACTAGTTTCAAATATTACTACCGTAAATACTGTAATAGTACCCCAGCCCCAAAACGACGGTGCGGAGTGTTGCGTAGGCTAGCTTTGAACGAGTTTTTCTCGACACTGGTTTATGCTACAATGCGCGCTCTGCTACAATACAATGGAGTCTGTAAGAGATGCCAGCTCTAAAGCAGGTCAGAGGTCTAGGTCAGAGAGCCAACGCCAATCCAGTGTTTTTGTGGTGTGCGCCAAATTGAGCCAGGAGAAGGCTGGCTTCTGAGCAGGTATATCCAGCTAGATCTCAGTGCTTATAAGCTAAATCAGAGCTAGGGGAGAGTCAAGTTAACCTACCGTAAATACTGTAATAGTACCCCACCCCCATAACGACGGTGCGGAGTGTTGCGTAGTCTAGCTTTGAACGAGTTTTTCTCGACACTGGTTTATGCTACAATGTTCGCTTAGGTATCAAAAAATAGCCCTGAATTTCAGCTATTTTTTGATACCAAAGACGCATTTTTTGAAAGTACGGGAGCTTTGAAAAAAATGAAATACTAAAAAACTTTTGCGACTACGCGACTGTACGAGGAGGGTGGGGTACTATTACAGTTTTTACGGTATGTTCAAAGTTACTGTAAATCTCCAGTAATCAGCTAAAACAAGTCACTTTTCAAATAATGAATTGATGAATTGATGAACTCAAATGAATTTATATTCAATTTCTCTCAACGAAATACTTTTTCTTCAAATACTGTATTTTACTATAAATCTAGAGGTAATAGAATACTGTAATGAGAATGAAAATTAAAGCTTAGCGTTTTTTTAAAAATTTCATTTTAAACATTGATTCATTTTTGAAGAGATTTTGATAAACAAACTTTCAAATAAATAACTAATGGAAATTTGAATTGATGAATCTATTAGGTTGTTCGGATATAAACAAGCGTTGCTGAACTTATTGTTTAAAACGTGTCTTTCTGTATTTAAAAGTACGTTATCTTGTGCATATTTGGAAGCTTTTTAAACGGATAATTTCTTATTTTTAAGATCTTTTTTTCTTGCTTTAGATGACCGACTTCAAATATTGGGTTGGTGAATTGAAAACAAATCTTATTATGCTTGATTCCGAAGTACTATTACGTATTAATTTTAACATCGGTGTGGTGTTGTTATTTCTGGGGCCGATTTTCTAAACCAAGCCAAATTTTAGTCAAGCTTTTTAAGTCAAATCCAATAGGTTACTTAAGGTTGAAATTCTAGGTTATGGCCAATTGGCCAAGAAAGTCATTGGTTTGGCTTGGCTTTTTGGAGAAGCCTTGGTAGTGGTGCTAACAATACACCAAAATAAGAAGTGATCTATTGGATTGGTGAATTGAAAACTGCCGGCTATTGTCATATGTGACAGTTTGAGCACTTTCTTCAAAAGAAACCCATTTTAGTGTCAATGGAAAAGTTGTAGAGAATCAAAAATCAAGCTTATATCCAAATTTTCAGAACGATTCAAAAACTGGTTTTCAAGAAATGCCAAATTTACGAATTTTCACAAAACTTGCATTTTAAGCGAAACTACTGAGTGTATCTTTTTGGAAATATGGCTATAAGCCTAGTTTTTGATTCTCTACAACTTTTCTATTGACACCAAAATGGGTTTCTTTTGAAGAAAGTGCTCAAACGGGGACATCTCCAGTCCTCGATTTTTGAGTCTCACACTTGTCTGACACACAACCCAAAATCCTACTACAAAATCCTAATCCACAAAATCCTACATCCACAAAATTGCCTGCAAAATGGGCAGAAGTCGTCAATAGTAATGGAAATTATTTGGAATGAATTCATGGTTTTATTTTGAATAAATTTTAGTTCAAAGTCCGGCAGTTTTCAACTCACCAACCCAATATATCAAGTTCGCATCTGCCTACTTTACGACTTCAAACTGGGCAAAACAGTAGCGGAATCCTATTGAGATTTGGTCAAAGCATTTGGGAATGATGTATTGTTCGAAAGCCGATGCCGAGCCTGACTCCAACGCTTTCGGAATGGTGATGAAAGTCTCGAGGATCATGAACACTCTCGTGAAGAATATCGTTGTCGACCTCAAGCGGTAGACAACGATATTTTGAGGGCTGCAATCGAACCGGATCCTTGTCAAACGACGCGTGAACTCGCTCAATAGTTTCTATATTAAAATTCTACTATTGATGAGCATCTCCACGCCATTGGAAAAATGCGATCAGATGCGGGAAATGGCTTCCTCACGAGTTAAGCAGTGCAAACGCTCGTTTATATCCGAACAATCTAATAAAAAAAGCTTTACTTTCAATTTCTAAATATAAAATCAGGTTTTTATAAGAGCTCTTCAAATTTTATCTATTTTCTAATTCAAATCCGAATCTGTTCAGAGCAAAGTATCACGAAAAAAATGAATTACAATGGACAGAATTACAATGGACAAATTTTATCAAGTGTTACTGAGAACGAAATTTGGATTATCTTTTTTTTGGGGAATAAATAAAGAAACCCTGTTGAATAGACGTGTGAAAAAAAAAAAGAAAATCTCGTTTTCCCAAGTCCCATTCATTTCACGAATAGAAAAGGATCAAGAAAACTCAGAAAAAAAAAAGAGGAATAACTCTGTTTTCATGCAAGATTTTATGTATACTCTTGTTGAAGAATTTCGACTTTAAAATTTAAACTAACTAACTAACCAATTGTTGGATTTAAAAATTTCCAATTCAACCTCATTTTCTTCTGCGCTCAATTTTCTTTCTTTCTTTCTTTCTTTCTTTCTTTTTGTGCTTGTTGAGTTTAAATATTCATTTTCAAATATTCAATTTTTCAAATATTTGAAAAAAACTTTCTTTCTTGTTTTCTTCGTTTTGTTTAAAGTTTTGGAAATAAAAATGAAATAAAAGTGACTGGAAAAAAGCAAAATGAGGTACTTTGAGCGAGCGCACAATCGCGCGCTTTCTGGCACACCAGGCATATAGATATCAAGAAAACGGGTTGATTACCCAAGTTTGAGGTTGGCGCCGAGACCTTTTCCTCTTTCTCGCCGAAGCCAGTTTCCTCCAAGATTTGAACCATCCAAAAGATCACCCCCATTTTCACTAGCCGAAACATGGCTCGTTGGTCTAGTGGTATGATTCTCGCTTTGGGTGCGAGAGGTCCCGGGTTCAATCCCCGGACGAGCCCAAGCTTTTGTTTTTTTGGGAAGAAAGCTTTAGTAACTTTAAGACTTAGTAACTTTAAGCTTTAGTAACTTAAGTAGACGCTCCAAGAACGGTTTCTCGACAAATTTTTGGAACGTTTCACCAATAGGGGATGCATCAATGAACCCAAGTGTCAGATCTTAAATCTTTCATTCTTTATTTTATCTGTTTTTGTTAGGACTCGTTCTTTAATATCTTTATGAAGCTAATATCAGATTCGGCTTCTCGGCTATTTATTTGATATAGCTGTAACTCAGCGATGATAGGCGATTGAAATAGAAAGCATCAGCCCTCCGTCGGACGGAGAGACTCGAGACGACACGTCTGTGTGTACCTTTCGAGTGTTTCGCAAGAAAAAGCGGCATCTGGCACACGGTCCGTTGAGATAGCGCGACAGAGACTCGGGTCTCCGGTTTAATTACCCAAGTTTGAGGTTAGCATTAACCGCGAGACCTCCCAATAGTGTCTCGAAAAAATTTTGGAACGCGTCCCCGTTGGGGCGATGCACAAATAAACTAGGAATTTGAAATGATATGAAACTTTGAGGTTCGATTTCATTTTATCGTGATTCATCGAGAAACGTGTCAACTTTTCGCTTAACTTTCAGTGAAACGTTGCCGGGGAACCACACGGAAATCGTCACGGGAGAATTTTCTCCACTACTCTATGGCGGAGAAAATTTTGGAAAATACGGGTTCTCCTCGTGCTGAAAATTGATCCCCAGCATTTTGTTGTTTTCAGATGAGTTAGATTCGTGAGATTTTGAGTAGTTGGCTTCTTTTTGGAGAATTTCGAAACTTCTGGCTGAAATGACAGTGTCGGAGGTGTACTTTGCGAGAGCCCACAATCGTGCGCTTTCTGGCACACCAGGCAGATAGATGATGAGAAAGCGGGCATCAAAGTCGGTTTAATTACCCAAATTTGAGGTCAGTATCCCGAGACTTTACGAAAAGTTTTTCGAGAAAATTTTGGAGAGGATTTCTCTTTTGAGAAGTCCACAAATCTCATAGTCAGCAATTCGATGGCTTTGGATCTCTTTCGAAGCTCTAATCCAAAAATGAGTGTTTACATCTGCATCTATTCCTTTCCAATTAATCTTTTTTTTCAGCAATCTTTCATTTTTCATAATGAAACTTTTCAAAAAATCTGCAAAAACTCGTGCTTTCCCAAGAAGAAATTTTCCACATTTTCTTTCGATTCCAAGTAGGCATCGAAATTTTCAATAAAATAAAAACTCTAATTAGTTTCACATAGGGTTTCTTGGAAAAAATTGGGCTTATTTGTAAAAAGATGACTTATAACCTAAAAGAAATAAGGAAGCAAGATTGAGAATTCCTTTCTGCAGCTGAATAATTCCCCATCTTGAATCAAAAAAGAAAAGGAACTGGAATTATTTAACTTTTCTCTTTTTCACTTTTCTTTCTAAGCTTGATTTCAGCTTTCTCTCTATTTCTGACTCATTTTTGAGGTAAATGAACGTTCAAAAATTCTCAGTAGCTACAATTTTTGACTTTTAAATTAAGAAAAAGGTTAAAAAAAAAGATCAGAGTCTAGCTATTAATTGAAAGTTTTCTAAATTAGAGAAAAATAGTGAAGAAAGTTTGAAAAGTTGATCTAAGGATCTTTTGACTAAGAAATTGTC